ATTCAAGTGTTTAATATGAAGAAAATTTTCTTATGCCTAATGCATGTGCTTAATTACTACTATGTATGTATGTATGTATGTATATAAGATAAACTTTTTATATTATTTGTAATTTTGATTATAAGATTAATTAAAATTTTAATTTTTTAAAAAACCTTAATTTTATTAATTAATACAATCAAGCCTAAATGCCCAGCTTGGCCTGGCCTAGGCCCAAGCTTGCACTAATATTCAGACCTAGGGTGTGGGGTTGGCCTAGGCCTAAGCAACTATAAAGGTCATTAATGCACTATGAAAGCCTGGCCTAACTCAGCCATGATCATCCCCATGCTATATGCTAGATCTAGTTATGGCCTGTTTGGGAGGGCTTCAGTGTTGGTTGAGCTGGTTAGAAAAAATTATCAAAAATAATTTTCACTGAAAAGTTGATTTCTCAGCTCATGTAAGCCTATTTTAGATTTCTGAGTTTTTTCACCAAGCATGTCTTCACAGCTTTCAATGTAGGGCCTACCTTGCAATGCCAGAAGCTGCTATGTAAAAGCCCTCTGGAACGGGTAATAAGTTAGTGAAGCTAGTGGGGTTAAGGGAAGAATCCGGGTTAGCTATATTTGATGGCTGTATTAGAAGTTCTTAACCGATAATAATGCCCTTGGCCAACAAATAATTGCAAATTGAGAGGTTGGAGTGGTTGTAGGACATATACACTTCATCATTAATACCGGTCTTATTATTGATTAAACAGCCCCGATCACATGCCATAAAGTGCAGCTAATTCATTGGTCTGTAATTGAATTAGGTTTGGATCAGATACTGCTACATGCCTACATCTGCATCCGATCATATATCCAATAAGTTAGATTCAAATTCAATTTGGATTTAATCTGATTCTTAAGGCTGTGTTTGGTTGCAATGCAATTTTATTTGTATTAATACAAATGCATGAAAGTGCGTGCAAATGAAAAAAAATGCAAATTCTCGTTTAATTTTGTTTTGGGTTTTACTTTATTCTGTTTTATGTCTTTATTTACTTCATTTATACCACAATCAAACAAAATAAGCTAAAATTTGAAACAAAAGTAAATCAGAATTTGCACTCAAATCATTTGCATTACAATCAAATACAACCTAAAGTGAAAAAAAATATAGTTAAAAAAATAATTACATTTATAAATTTATACATAAATATAAAATGTTAAACTTATTAATTATAAAATTTTTATAGTTGCATATAATATCTATATATAAACATAATTATATATATAACAATTTTTTATTAAACTTAAATTTTAGTTAGAAATAGGGGTTTCAATGGACCGATTTTGGGTTGGACCCTGTCCAAACCAAAATCAATTTGGAAGAATTGGATGGACCAACAAGACTTAGTGAATTGGACCAATCCAGACTTAATGATCCAAAGTATTTATTGGATTGGATTGACCGGACCAACAGGACATTGAATTGGACCAGTCCAGATTTAATGGCCCAAAGTATTTATACGTTAGAACCCCTTGCAAGCAAGTTTATTAATTATTATATTTCAGTGTTGATCACACCTTCAATTTCAATTTCAGCTGGAGACATATTTTATATAAAATATTTACTTGAAAAAGGTGTTGGGGGTAGGTGGCATTAAACAATTCACTTCTCCAAGTTTCGCACTTACCACCGGGGATTCTGTTTATACGTTACATTTGTTTATACTTTATAGAGATGATATATAAAGCTGAGCTGGGATTCAAGGGTTAAGAGAGCATGGCAATATGAACTTCAGCCGTACATTGGAAATATCTCATAGAAATGCACAACAAGTGCAGTGATCCAGACTTTTATACAGCTTACATTTTTTTTATTTAGTATTGAATCACTCGCCTTTGTCCCATAAGGTTGTATTTCAATTTTTTTTTGCACAGTACAATATCTTTTCTAATAATATAAATAATTTTTCTCAAAGGTGGTGAGAATCGATAACAGGGCTCGAAACCGTATCTCACCTAGGACTATCCGATTTACGTGTTTTCTGGCTTTTATTAGTTTAATTCACAAATGAAACATTAAAATATTTCTTCTTTAATGCTGTCGTGCTTGGAATTAAATGATCAACTGGAACATAAAATCTTTGATTATACATTACTGAGTATAATATACATTAATATATATATATATGAATGAATTATCAAAAATATATATGTATTTATACAAAAATCGGACAAGGAAAAAAAAAAAAGAAAATCTGGTCATACCATTATCAATAGGGGCACAAAATTTATTTAGGTTTGGATTAGGATTTTGTTAAAATTTTAATGAATCCAAATGGAAGCCCAAACCTAATACAGTATAAAATGTTAACTCCAGCCAATCCCACTTGCACCCCTGTATCAGTTATTTTAAGCCTTGCTGGTGTTAGTCTGGATCGTATGCCCACACAAATTCTATCCACAATTATCACAACCATATATGGAAAACATTTCATCCTCTGTATAATATTATACAGGAAGAAATATTCTCAATTCACGATGAATAATATGTTGTGGGTAGAAGTGAACAGAATTCTGGTGGACAGGAGATCCGAAATCCACTGATGCCGAATGATGGGGCGCACAGATCAGGAATTGGGTAATTGGAAAGTACAAGAACATCTTTCACATTGCAGGCACAAGTCAAGACTTATTGTACACGTTAAGACTTATGTTCCAGTTAAGACTTATGGGGCGCACAGATCCGAAATCCACTAACGTATGCATATAGGCTAAAAAATGAAGTCCACGTTAAGACTTATTGTACATGGTCTATATTTGCTTTGTTTTGAATGGAAAGAACGCTCCGTGTTTTACCAGCTAAGTGGGCTGGCCCATTGCTCTGTATCAAAAATTCAAAGCCATCCCAAAAGCTATAACGATGGTGCCCTCGAGCACACTCCATCTATCATTGTCCACCATTTTTTCCTTTACTTTAATTTGGACAAGTGTGAAAAGACCAAGCTGTTTTTGTCGTTTCCAGTTGAATCGGCAGCATTCTTTGATTGTCTTTAGTATTGTATATTGCTGGAATTTAAGTGAATATTTCATACTTCATTGTCAAAGAAACGAGCACAATTGAATAGTTGGTCCAAGTCTGGAGCACAAAATATATTATTTTAACTAACCATTTCTGAGGGCGGTTGGTTTTAGTCTGCTCTACTACACTTACGCTATGTCTTATTTGTCAAAAACGAATTTCTATGTAATTATTTAACAACTTTGCCTCAACTCTCCATTTCTTTCTTTCTTTTTTTTTCTATTAAACCAAACACAACCTTGTCAATAAAACTTGCCATATTTGAATTCCACTTTACAGTTCGATTTATAAACCGCAACTATTTGAGTGGCTTTAGATCACTTTGTTGGACTAATCTTTGGTACAGAACATCTCCTTAGATGGGCCCTACATGGAGATAGGCTTCTATCCCGTGCTCATACCGTTTGTAACTTTGCATTGGAAATATTTCTCAATAAAATAAAACATATAAATAGGAAGATATTCTCAATGTAAAACTGTAAAGGCTGTTCAAACGAGATCTACCTTGATTAAAGTAGAATTCCCTTGTCCAAAATATAGGAGGAAGAAGTGCAATTTATAATCTTAAATTCAGATATCAACCAATCACACTAAATATTAAATATATTTAATGGTTTCATTGATATTACATCTCAGAAAGTGTACTACTTGAGAATATTTCCCCATTAAATAAATCACGTAAGTTAGTATATGTTTGATTCTGTTTATATTTATTGGATAAACATTTATAAATGGTGCCACATAGGTGCCCCGTCAATAAATGTCTCATTAAAATCAAATTTTGGCACCACTCAAGCTCTAAAATAAAGCTTCTTAAAACTGATAAGTATTTATTAACATTTTGCTAATGTGGTGCTTAATGACACTTATATGTCATAAATCCCTTATTATATGTGTTTTTCGGTTTTACAGTCACACAAGTACAAACCAAAAGTGTTTCTTTCTTTTATCTTTTTTTTATTCTTGATGTCTGAACCATGAACCTAGAGCTGCAATATAATATGGTAGACTGAATCACAGGATTGCGATTCAACTGGGGAATGAGAATCTGGATTCCAAACCCATGGAGGGCCCACGCGAGGCCCATCGCCCTTCGGTAAATCCGTCAGATGGGACATATGACAATGGACGTTAGGTTAGGTATATTCCAATCTAACGTTAAAACAATAGTTTCATAAGAAAGTTGTCACGTGCAGGACTTTTCTTGTGAAAAATTTTAATCGTAAAAGTTAACAAAGGGAGGACTGGCAACTGAAAACTGGCAACCTGTCCCGCCCTGTTTGGCCCACCAAATAGAAGGAAATGAATGGTGGATACTTTTCAATCATTTTTATATGCCGAGTACGACCAATCTTCACGTGCGCAACATGTGCAATACCAACACCAACAACAAAACTATAATATTAAAATTTAAAATATATGGATCATCCAGTACGCAATGGCCAGAGATCTTGTACGTAGGACCCACCCACTGTAACTTGATGAGATTGAAATACCAATACCAATTGTCCCTCATCCTCCAACGTAGCCTAAATATTGACCAAGTCAGCGTTTTTGTAGTCAATTTTGGTTGCCAGTTGAAAAAGGGTGGATAACTGGAAATCATTCAATTCAAGCTGTGTTACTCATCGATGTCTTCAAGAGACGAGATTAAGATCTAACGGCGGTGGAGATGAAGGTGGAAAACTCGACTGATTATGTGTCTCTCACCAGATATAATACCCGACCTACAACCAAAGTGGGACAGGGACCAGATCAATTGGCTGTCATGTACGAGGTACAACTAAGATATACCCATATAATGGCCGGACCGCTCCTATTTGATGGTAAATAGAGTAATTAAGTGGAAAAGGTGTGACTAAATGAGGAAATCCACCTGCCCTGCATGTACAAGCTACATTTCTCGCCAGCCTTTCAACTCATGTAGTCTGCGTTTGGAGCAACTTCAATCGTTCTCTTTCCTATATATTCTGAGTCTCTGACGAGAACATGTGATCCTCCACTGCACCCTCCCCCCCTCCTCCACCTCTCTCTCTCTCTCTACTTCTCTGCGAGATTCCAGGATTCTCCCTCTCTTTCGCTCCTCTGCGGAATTACAAACGAAGAGTGTGAGAGAGGAAAAGTCTGAGCTTTGATTTAGGGTTTCCCTGAGAATTCTAGCAGAGCAGAGTAGATCAGAACAGAGCAAACATGGCTTCGCAGAAGAAAGATGTCGGTATTTTGGCCATGGACATCTACTTCCCTCCTACGTGTGTTCAACAGGTGAAGATTTTATGCCTTTTTCTTTTTCGTGTCCTTCACTGTTTTCTCCTGCATGTGTTGGACCTCACTTTTTCTTTCATCATTTCTAGATTTAATTTGATGCGGAATGTCTGCTTTAGTTTGATTCATGGTTTGCTTCTGTAAATGTGCTATTAGGGGATCAACAAATTTTTGAATTTGGAAGTTTCTTCCAGGATCTTTTTTTTTTTTTTGGGGGGGGGGNTGTGGAAGTGGTTTCATACAGTTCTGAAATGACAACTCTGCTCAAATTTGTCTACTTTTTGTAAGACTTTAAAACTATGACGTTTCATTTTGGTGAAGTGGGTGGATTTTAGCTGTAGTTACTTATGATTGCATGGTGACTTCGGAGCTGCGATCTTCAGAAGTCCTCTGTGTGCCGAAATATCTTCGACTTTATGCATTGTAGTTAACCGTTTCTTATTTGTACTTGACGTCTTGATAAAGAAACTTTGGAAATTCAAATATGCTTTTCTGGATTTTGAATAGTGTCTTATTCTGCTATCCGAGGATCATTAATGACACGCATAAATCAGTCCGTTTGGAATTAGTGAACGGTTTTGATGTCCAGTTTCTTTTGTGAGAATATCCTTGACCTAGACGGAAGTATTTTCACGGAGGCTTTAACCAACATATGAAAATTCACTTACCGCTGGTTCTTTCTGATTCCTTTACCATTTATAAAATGATGCAGAAAATAAAGAGACATTTAAATGGTATATAGGAAGGATATCGCGAGTTTCAGGCTGGAATTCCATTTATAATAAACTGTTTTTTTTTTTTTTCATTATACAGGGTCCTTTTGACCACCGCATATTGCCTGGAATTCCATTTAAACTTCCTATGTTATTTACCTTATGTATTCTTTTTGTCTAAGAGTTTCATATGGCGAAGATATTGTGGCTAGGATTACTTCTCTGTTTCTCTTCTTTTTCAGGAAAACTAGGATATTTCTTTGGTTATAGAAAGTAGAAACTACAAAATACATATTTTCATGATTTATGTCAATTTCCTTTTCTCCACCACTTTTTAAATCCCTCTTCCCACCATACCAAGACATCTCGGGTTTTTCATGTTCTTATTGACGTTCTTTTCTTTCATATGTGAACTCATATGAAGCTACATACTTAATTGTGATTTTCCTTTTCTTTATCCTTTTCTTCTCTGTGTATGAATAGGAAGCTTTGGAGGCTCATGATGGTGCAAATAAAGGAAAATACACTATTGGACTTGGCCAAGATTGCATGGCATTTTGTACAGAATCAGAAGATGTTATTTCGATGAGGTCTTTACTCTTAATATGATAATCTACTTTTTTGTGTACTAACATTTAGTTCCTTATTATTACTTATTCCAGTGACAGAAGCTGCTTTCTTTTAAATTTGGTTAACTTATTGTACCTTGTGAATTCAGCATTGTTTATTATTAATTAGAATGTCAAATTTAAGCACATAGCAAGACATAAAACTATTTTTGACTCTGAACTCAAATTCTCTAAGTTTATTAAAATTACAAGTATTGATGGAATTAAATACTAGACCTTTTTCCAAATGTTTGGCACAGCTTCCCTGGTTTGTAATATTCTTTGCCTTTCATGAGAAGCTGGAATGCTTATTACTGGGATGAAAAGGCAATGTTGTGTGATTTCTTTACTCAAATATTTGTAGTGATCTATGTAATTATGTGTTCACCGTCTTGAATGATAATTATTGGAGGGGACTAACTGCATAATGCGTTGTGGTGGTTTGTTGAAACTTCAGTCAAACTAGTCTAGGGGCTGTTTGGTAATGGCTAAAGTGGCTGAGTGGCTGAACTGAATGACTTATTACTTTGTCTTTTAATGGATAAAATATTTTGGGGTATAGCGATCAGCCTATCATGCCATTCAGCCATTAAGCCATTAAGGAGCTACCACTCACTTAATGACACTTCACTAGAAGTCAAAGCAATAAATAATTTCAGTTTATTTACTTCATCCATTATCGAATGACCCATGAACTTCTGCAAGGACATAAAAATATTTCATAAAAAATCTTTTCTTACGGAGCTGGAAAGAAATAACTTTTTCTTATGTATAAACTTGATATGATTTCTTCTCCTAGGGAAAACTGGATTTGAACATAGAGAAGTGAGGGTTGAATACTTAATTTCTGAATGCAACTAAATGGTAATTATGGGATCATGTGGCTGACTATATTTTATTAGACTAACACATACACCTTCATGCGATCATGTGCCAATCATGCACATCTGTTATAAAATTAACAATAGAGCCTTTTCAGGGACAATTTAGAGTATTAAAATTCATGGCATGATTATGCTGTTGTTGTACAAAATCTCATTATTCAAAAACTTGTCAAGTTTTACTTATAATGAAAACTTTCATTGAAACAACTCTTTGGTCTTATGTTTTTTTTTTTTTTCCATCAAACTTTGTACTTTTTCAGTTTGACAGTTGTGACTTCCCTACTTGAGAAATATGGGATTGATCCAACACAAATTGGTCGTCTGGAAGTTGGCAGTGAGACTGTGATAGACAAAAGCAAATCCATTAAAACCTTCTTGATGCAAATTTTTGAGGTATCCCATCAATTCTGTTGGCTACAGATCCTCATTTCTTCTTCTTGAGTTTCTTTTTCTCACCATTTTTATGTAAAAAACAACAGAAACATGGTAATACTGATATTGAAGGAGTTGATTCAACAAATGCCTGCTATGGGGGGACTGCAGCTTTGTTCAATTGTGTAAATTGGGTAGAGAGTTGTTCGTGGGATGGACGCTATGGACTCGTTGTATGCACAGACAGTGCGGTATGATTCTTTTCTTTCAATCTTTTGTGCTTGTCTGGTATTGGCATAGACTGCTGATTTCTACTGAATAATGTTAGCAATGATTAGAAGCTCTTAGATGTTGGCAAATAAATAAAAAAAGAAAACAAAGAGAGAAAAAAGGCTTGGTAATCATGTAAAAAACCATGTTGCATATCCAGTGAAACTTAATTGAAAGATGAAATCAATGTTATCATAAGTGTTGAGCAGCCATTGACTAGTCAGTTGAGGGCTAGACTGACTGCATCACTGTCTAGTTGGTTGACACTTATGCGGTTGCCTAGGATGACTAAGCACTGAGTAGGCCGACTAGCCAATCACAAAGTTTTCTTCCAATCAGTAGTGTTGGGTACAAAGTTGCCACAAGCGAAGTGCACATCAAATACCCTAGATTTCACTCTTCCCTCAGAAAAAAAGGTTGAAATTCTTTATCCTACCCTATCCATTACATTTTCAAAACAAGGACTGTAAATTAAATTTATATCATTCTTTTATTGCATAGTTGTAATCTGTATAGCTTATTTAAGAGATTGCATCAGTATCTTAAATTAAGAACATAATTTTTTCATTGACTAGTCAGCAGCTAAGCACCGAATAGTCATTGCATTGACCAGACAGGCCAAGATGATTTGTCATCACCTCACCACATTGATAGAATTGGATAAACTTGATATGGTATCTTATCCTTTAGTTTTGTGATGCACACCCTCTGTGCCTTCAATTCCTTGAGGAATTTCTAGCGACTTTCTGTTTCTCCTTATTTTCTGATAAACCAAACACAGCCTTGGTATATAACTTAAACCATATATGGATTGAATCCTGACAATCCTGCTTTTTGGCGTTTGGGTGATCAACTTTTCAGTGGACCAGTAAGATATCACATTACCATTGCTTATGTATCAATATCTTTTTGATGTTTAATATTATCTCATCTTGTATACGTTTGCTCGTAAATGGATCTATGGTTTGGACAATGTGCAAGTGTGTAACAAAGATTAAGTTTTAGCACATTTCACCTGCATAATTGAAAGCACAAAATCTTCATGTAAGCCAACAACCTTAAGAATTTCCTGCTGTAGAAAGTGCCAGGCATTCACAACTCTTGATGCATGCTGTTTGTATGAACTCAATATGTTCCATACTTCCATGTGTCTTTCCAACCATTGATGCATGCTACTGGCCTTCCATGCTTGTATATGAATATACATGAATTGAGAGATCAAACTTGCTCTGTTATGTCTGAATATTCAATTTTTTTACTTGGATTCTGTTACAGGTCTATGCAGAAGGATCAGCCCGGCCAACTGGAGGAGCTGCTGCTATTGCTATGCTGATAGGACCAAATGCTCCAATTGCATTTGAAAGCAGATATAGAGGGAGTCATATGTCCCATGTCTATGATTTTTACAAGCCTGATCTTGCAAGTGAATACCCAGTAGGCCTCCTGACTTTACTTTCTCCTTACTGGTAGCCTAATGTTGCAGTCAAAACCGGAAACTCAATTTGAGTTTTGTTGTGTCCCATTTGTTAGTTTGCTATTAGGGATCCTTTGAAGTTTGAGGAAAGAAAGGGGCATTTTTGTCCTGCCCCAACATTCATGTCCTTCAATTTTTATTTGTGGTCTTGGTGTTCATACTCCTCTCAACTCACCAGCCTATGCCAAATATACCACTTTTATTGATTTGAGCAAATAATTTTTGGATGCATGGGCATTTTTGTTTTGTTAGTAAATTATTTTTCGGACCTACATTTGTAATACAGAAGCTTTTCTGGCAGGTATGTTTTTGTATGGAATTGCATAATCTAATGACTCATATGTCCTTTCTATATAAGATGACTGTACTAAGAATAAATGGACAGGAAAGAGACCACAATTTGAGTATTTGAAAGCCTTGATTGTATAACTGTTCTACTCAATGTTGATTTTGAAAAATCCTGAAAATGAAGTACTAATTGTCTACTTTAATAGCACACAAAAACAAAAAACAGGAATGCCCTGCTTGAATTTGAAAATCATTTTCCATTATGATTGCAACTGGTTTTTTATCGTTCCCAAATGGTCATTGCTTCTTGCTTTAACCTTCAATTAATATGTGTAGGTTGTTAATGGTAAGCTTTCTCAAACTTGCTATCTCATGGCACTTGATGCTTGTTACAAGCATTTCTGTAACAAGTAAGTTTCTCATAAATTACAGTACTTTCTGTCTACCCTTGCTCAAGTTTTGGTGATTATTTACAATGTCTAAGTGCCTTATCCTGTCTTTCTATAGATTTGAGAAATTAGAAGGAAAGCAGTTCTCAATTTCTGATGCAGACTATTTTGTGTTTCATTCTCCATATAACAAGGTACATTTTCTACATTTTGGACCTGAACAATTTACCATGTATTTATCAGTCAAGGTTCTTGGTTGAAACATAATTTTATTTAATTTGCTTCTTCAACTCGTATTGCAGCTTGTACAGAAAAGCTTTGCTAGGTTGTATTTCAATGATTTCTTGAGGAATGCCAGGTTCCTATTTAACTAACACCATAACTTGATTTTTCTTGTTTCTTTGGTTCTGGATCTTATCATTTGTAATTGCTAATGTTTTGGTGTACATCCATCAACTGTCTGATAACATTCTGCATTTTATTTTATTGACCAGTTCTGTGGGGGAGGTTGCAAAAGAAAAATTGGCACCATTTTCATCTTTATCCAGTGATGAGAGCTATCAGAATCGGGACCTTGAAAAGGTCAATCTCGTGTCTTGATAATAATGATATTGTGGTTGGTGTTTCATGATGAAAATGCTTATTTTTCTCTTGGATATCTTTGAAACTTCGCTATTCTGTTAGTTGACTTAATATGTGGCATCTACAGGCTTCCCAGCAAGTTGCAAAGAACCTATATGATGTGAAGGTGCAACCAACCACCTTACTACCAAAACAAGTTGGCAATATGTACACAGCATCTCTTTATGCAGCATTTGCATCCCTTATTCACAACAAGCATAGCTCACTGGTAAAGTCAAAGCCTCTTTAAGCATTTGGCATGGTTCCTGCATATTCAAAATTTATGTTTCTCTTTGCAACTCTGAATTTTCTTTTGTTTCTTGCAGGAGGGTAAACGGATTATAATGTTCTCATATGGGAGTGGTCTGACTTCCACAATGTTCTCATTCCAACTTCAAAGTGGACAACATCCATTTAGCTTGTCAAATATTGCAACTGTCATGAACATCTCTGAGAAATTGAAGTCAAGACATGAGGTATTGTTCTTGTTCCTTTATTGCAAATAAGTAATACCCTCAAACGCTGCCTTTCTTATCTTCATGTATCTGTCTCCATGCCATTGTCACCATTAAACCATGGGGAGGCTGTTTCCGACCTGCATGAATGTCTCATGTCTGCGTATAACCCTTCATGAATCACAAATGTATCACATGCACTGCATATGGATGTGTACATATGTTCATAACTTGTAAAAGCTCTTTGGATATGAACATGCCCAGATAAATTTTTATTACGACATGATGATGATGGCATGATGCTATTGGCACATGTACTTTTTTAAGTTTTCAATGGTAATTTTTATTAGATAAAAAAAAAATGAATTTGGATTAGCTGAATGCGATGGCTGTTTAGCTTGCTGTGGAACCAATGATAATGCTTCACACCAGTAATAAATTCATGAGCCCCACTGTGAAAGGTGCGCGTCCCATGTATTTTATTACCGGCATGGAACATTATCATTGGTTCCACAGCCATCGTGTTCAGCCAATAGTGCTCAAAAAAATTATGACTTACAGATGAGTTTATTTTGAAGGATGATGATAAATCTATGACGGCATGTTCTATCCAGATGGCCAAGAAAAAATGAATGGCAAAGAAAGGTTGGGTTGCATTTGTTTCCAGTGCACAGAGAAGCCTTCTCTCCACCACTTCGAATGGCCATTGATCTGCTCGGCCTGCCGTTGACCCAGACGGTCGGACTGATCAGCCCAGGTCCCACCCAGGAAACCGGTTCTGTTTTAACTCAAACCGGTCTTTGGCCAAAAACCATTAAAAAAGCCAGCAATCTGTTGACTCGGGTGGTCGAACCGTTGATCTGTTCAACGGTTTTTGGCTGTTTTTTATTATTAATCTTTTAATTTTTTGTCAGAATGGGCCATCCATTCGAACTGGACAGTCAGACCGTTGACCTAGAAACCGGTGGCCAGAACGGTTTCGTTTTTTGGTCATTTTTTAAAGGAAAAATTCCCGATCAGTACCCTGTACTTTGGCTTGAGTGACAATTTGACCCCCAAACTTCAAAATGTGACAATCTAGTACCTGCCGTTAAGTGACATTTGAAAAGTCAAAAATGCCCTTCAAATGCCACCTAATTCTCTTTATCAACCATCAAAACATTGACAAAAAACTAAACATCCCAAATCCTACCCTCTTCTATTCAAAAAAGTTGGTAACTGTTTAGAAGAATCTAGAATTTGGGACTGTTCATTTTATTGTCAATGTTTGGATGGTTGATAAAGAGAATTAGATGGCGTTTATGACTTTTCAAATGTCTCTTAAGGGACTGGTTAACGGCAGGTACTGGATTGTCACATTTTGAAAGTTTAGGTACTGAATTGTCACATTTTAAAAGTTTGGATACTGAATTGTGGCATTTTAAAACCATGGTGTACAGTGAAGCTTTCTGCTGATACACTTGATATAGGTCCAAAATATTCTTCGTAAGTCCTAAGTTCCTAACACTATGATTATTGGTACAGATCTCTCCCGAAAATTTTGTTGAAACTTTAAAGCTAATGGAACATCGTTATGGAGGAAAGGACTTCGTGACGTCAAAGGACAGGAGACTGCTATCTCCGGGCACGTTCTATCTCATTGAAGTCGACAACTTGTACCGAAGGTTCTATGCCAAGAAAGTTGGGGATGACAGCGCTGCTGGCAAGGCTGCTACGATCCATGATAATGGTTCACTGGTCAACGGTCACTAAACTGGGGGGGAAATGCTCAATTATCTGCCTTTGCATTTTAATAAGTGTTTTTCTATTGTTTGTCAAAGTATATGGCTTCATAGGCAGCAGGTTTTACTAGCTTAATGTTCGTTGTGTTAATCGTTAATGGAATTCTCCTAAGTTCCTCCGAAATCTTTCTAGTTTCTGCTGCTTTAGCATTTCTACAATGTTTTTGCTTTTTTTTTCACAAGAAAAGTTAGGTATTGAATTCATTCTGACCACGTGGCAAGAGTTTTTCATCTCAAATTCGATCCCATTAATCAGAGGGAGCGAGTATGGCATCTTAAAAAGGACGGTAAGCCGGTGATGACGGTTCAATTGATTTTTTTTTTCTTTTCTTTCAGCGTTAGATCTGGCGACTGGCATGATTGTATCAGGCTTCTTTCTTGTTTCTTTTGGCTATTACCCCTCCCTCCCACTTCCTCACACTCACACATCTATTTAAGCTATGATTTGGTTCGACAGAAAATTAGGTGAGAAACTGAAAGTTGGGTGAATTTTCTTAACAAATGGTTGTGCCCTCAACTTTCTGTTTCTCTCATGTTCTATCAAACCAATCACAGCCTTATGCCAATTGAGTAGGGAGTAGTGGTTCGGTTGGTACATAAATTGGGTGGGTAATCCCAAGCGAGATGCGGTTTTGAACCCACTATTATTTCTTACTACCTTTGAAAAAAGAATTATTAATGTTACTAGAAAAAACATACTGTATTATGCCAAAGAAAATTGAAATATGGGGACGAACGGCAAGTGATTCAATACCCAAAAAAAAAATTACAGCCTTATGGTCTTCCCTGGGCTTTATTTTATTTTTCAAAATAAATAATTAGAAGTCAGTTTTTATTATAGTTAGAACTATCAACTGGAGAAGGATTCAAACGGTTCAGCATTTTTAACAAGTTTGAGGTTAGACCGGATCGTCTTGGTCTAAAGTTGAAAGCACTAGAACGGAGAACTAGCTAAGCTATGGCTGTTGAAGTCTAGCCTTAATTTATTGCTACGAATGATGGTATACTCACTGAATCAATCAAGACCCACCAGTTGATGGTTCTTGATGAAGGGACCGTATGCACCATTCATGCATACGATACAATTATAGAGTTTATATATATTTCTCTTTTATAAAATAAATAAATTGTGTGCATGACACTGGCCCATGGGCCATGGACCTGGTTCTGTGCTACTCCCCCTCCCTGATCTATCGGGATGTGCCAGTACGGTCCACTACAGTGAGCGGCATTCGGCAGAACAAAACTACTATGCCATGCTACCTCCGCATGGCCCACCCACATTACACCTGTTTGAAATTGATAATTATAAGTCATGTAAATTTATACCAGTCCCATTTCATTGTGGATTCCTGTTTTACACCTGGTTATTTTGAGCTTAGATGAGTGCATACTACATACTACTTTCCAAATCCAATCTCCAACCACACAAAGACCGTTTGGCTCAACTAATTCCAACTTATCAGCATGTGAAGATTGAACGAATTAGAGCATGTTAATTAGATCATCATTGTTCATTCTGTTTGCCTTGATTCTCTATTTACGGAACAAACCCAAAACCGAGATTGATTGGCAAATAGAGAAACCAATAAGAAAAAGTAGAATAGATGAATTGAAAAAAATAAAAAAAAAAAACATAGAGATTTATGTAATTCAGCCTATGTTCATGGGTGAAAAAGGAGCATAAATCCATTATAAAAAATGGGAATGGAGGATACAACTTGGTGCAATCTCACTCTCATAAAAACCCCTATATCCTAATACAACCAAGATCTAATTCACAGACTTGCTCTACCTTTCCATGCAAGCTAGAGATGAACAAAAGAGAAAACCTTAATTACTTAATATAAACATATTGAGGTCAGACACTGATTCAGAAACATTTAATGTAAGAGACATTGAAGGGACATGAAACTCTTTAATTAACGAGAGATTAAAGAGAGTTATTAAGAGGCCATTAAAGCTTAAATCATAACCTTTATTGGGGAGATGGACTTGTGTTTGATCATATATAGAGGAAGATCCATAGAATTTATTAAGAGAAATGAAAGATCATTAGTTGCTTCAAATCAACGGTTAATATTTCTTTGATCCAACGGTTAGGCTTGATTGTTACTATAAATTCCCCTCTCCATGTAGTGCAATTCATTCAGAATTTGAGTTGAGATCTTCTTTTGAGTAGCTTTAGAGCTCTCCATCTCTTTCTCCTATTCAGTTTTTGGAGTTGGTGAAGCCCAAAGCTTAGTTGAGTGAGTGCAGTTATCTTGTGATATCCCTTTTTACTCTGCTGCGTATTCTAAAGGTGTGACCATCAAGTTCTTTCATATTTCATCCCTAATCCTTCGTGAAAGGCTTCAATGCATTAGATGTATCTAAGCAACATCTTTCATTGGGTTGTGAGAAGAAAGGTTTGGTGGCACTAAGGCGTGCTTGTGCCAATAATGCTAATGCCTCAATATGGGAATGCGATCTTCAACATATCGAAGTGTAAGGATTAAGAAGATAAGTACCACATGCGACAAAATGTTTACAATATTGTGAAACTCAAAACCGTGCAAATGATGGTCTCACCTTTGAGGATGAAATTAACCCTTTTCATCATTATGCTCCACATGAAGAGCCAAGTGAGGGGGTAGGGGAGGATCATGCAACTTGACCTTATGCTTAACTTCAGAATGCAGATTTGAAGGTGGATATCCCTGAGTTCGAAGGTAAGATCAAACTAGATGACTTCATTGACTAGTTGAATACTATATGCATCCTTGAATATAAAAAAGTTCCAATAGGTCTGTAAATGGAGTGAACTCCAAGCGAATTTAAAGCAAATCAGACCATATTCGAATTTGAATTCGATTTCAAAAATAAGTAAATATTCGAGTTCAATTCGATATTCAACGAATATTTAAAATTATAAACCAAACTCGAATTCGATTATATAATTGAATATTCGATATGATTTGAATTTGGCAAATTCCTAGCATTTACATTGAGAATACTAACTTTGAAAGTAGAGGAAGAAACAATTTCTGTATTGCTATGCCATATGAATGACAAAGATAGACAAATTACAAGAAATAAAGGAGAATAAAAAACCAATAAAAATCTAGAACAAATGACCAAATCTCTAGTTTGTATAAAAAAAATATCTTCTTGTGACCTATGATTTTTCCCCCAAGAGGCCCAGATGACTCATCTCTGCCATAGACCTCTATAGACCATCGGTCGAGTCTCTGATAGTCTCAACGCAATCTTGCATTGCCACAACCTCCCTAGCTTCATTCTATGGCTTTTTGATAGCTCTATCACCATGGTTGAAGTGGAGCAAGCACTTTTGTGAAGGAAACGTTCATGGTGTCGTTGATAAATGAGGACACATGCATGGATGCATTCATTGGCAAGGCTGTGAATATGAGCATCAAGACTTTAAGTAAGAGCCCCACATTCTGAACCTTGCCTAACTCAACAGACTTGTCAAGACCTCACCCTAACACTCAGGCCAATAGAAGTCGAAGTTGAAACATCTGATGTTCGAGCTATATGAAACCCCTTTGTGATTTTTTGGTTCTCATGTTCGCTTCCTCAAACTTTATTTTACAAAGTAGTTGCAAATAGAAAGAAAGAGAAGAGAAACGATTGAAAAGGGAACTTGGGAAGGAGACGATAGATGGAGATGGAATGCTTCGACAAATGAAAAAGTAGAAAAATGAATAGTCTTGTCAAGACCAATAATCAATTGCATTTGGGGAATGGGGACACAACTTTACACACAAAGCAATAGTTTTATAACCTCGGAAATTGGATATAGCTTTACACGCAAAAGTTAACTTATGAGACATGGGTGATTTATTATATATAATATTATATATTATATTATAATAATTGAATTTGAATATTTATCGAATTGAATCACCATATATTCGAATTCGATTCGATAAAATAACCAGTAAGGAAAAATATTTGAATTTGATCATTAAATTAATCAGATTAGCTGAATTTGATTTATCTCAGATTTTGAATTCAAAATCGATTAATTGGATGTCGTTGACACCCCTAGTTCCATATCATCAAAAGATAAAGATTGTAGCCATCAAATTAAAAAAAGTATGCACTTGCTTGGTGGGAGCAATTAAGGGTTTGAATAAAGAGAGATTAAACAAATAGAAAGTCATCACATGGGAAAAAAATGTAATTGAGAAAGAAATTCCTTCCTAAAAATTATCTTCAAAAGTGGTAAACACAATTATACAACTTGCAACAAGGTAAAAGAACCATTAAATGAATATACATGAGAGTTTGATCTATTTACCATGTGACATGGAGTGATTGGACCAAAGGACCATACCATTACATGCCTCATACATGGACTATGCAAGGAGATACATGACATAGTGGTTTTGCAGCCTTGTTGAACTTATAATGATGTTTACAAGTTGGCTATAAAAGTGGAGAAATAACAAGCAAAAAAGTCTAACTTGTCAATTGCAATGTCTACCATTAGTAATGATCAACTACATCAAGGGAAAAGCAACATATAAAGCTACGTGAACCGGTATATACAAATGTTGCATCAAGTTTAAGTCGACAAGGTGATCTAAAGGGCAAGGCAATAAAATGTTTCAAGTGCCTAGGTTTTGTCACATAGCATCAGATTATCCAAATAGAAGTTTATAAATTTAGTCGAGGAAGCTGAATTTGTAAAGCCAAAAAAAGAAGATGAAATGTCTATCCATGATGATTTTAATGATCATCCAGGTGATGACATCACTTGGAGTGACAAAGGAGAAGCTCTTTCACTAGGTGTATAATTGACACTACACACGTTGAAGACAATGATTGGTTGCATTACAACTTCTTTCATACAAGGTGTACATCATGAAATGGTATGCAACCTTATCATTGATAGTGAAAGTTGTAAAAATGTAGTTTCACAAGAAATGGTTGATATGTTGAACCTAAAGACTAAGAAAATATCAACTACCTATAAGCTGGCATGGTTCAAGAAAGGAAATTAGGTAACTATTGTTAAACATTACTTAGTGTCCTCTATTGGCAAGAATTATCAAGACAACGTATGGTGTGGGGTGGCACCTATTGATGTTTATCATCTTTTGTTGGGTATATCATGACAATATGACTGAAAAGCTCAATATGAAGAATTCAAGAATACTTACACCTATTGAAAAGATGGCATCAAAATAATCTTAGGTCCATCCAAGAGGAAGTACATTCCTAAGACTACTAAGGGTGAAAGTACCAACTTCCTTACCATTGGTGAGTTTTTGGAAAAATCCAAAAGGATATAAGCTTTTGTTATAAAATAAGAAAATACTGAAAGTTCTATTTCAATAGTACTTAAGCCCTTAATGAAATAGTATTTTGATATTATTTTTTATGAAATACTAGGTGGATTATCACCAATGAGGAATATTCATCATATTGATTTCATCCCAAGTTCAACTTTACCAAACAAGGCAACTTATATGATGAGCTTAATGAACATAAAGAGTTATATAGGCAAGTTGTGGAGTTATTGGAAAAAAGGTTGATTCGTGAAAGAATAAACCCATGTGCAATGCCAACTCTTCTAACACCAAAAAATGATGGAACATGGCATATGTGTGTAGATAATAGAATCATCAACAAAATCACCATTTAATACAAATTCTCATTCCTATGTTAAATGGCATGTTAGATATGTTAACTAGTTCTCGAATTTTTTTCCAATATAGATTTGAGAAGTTATCATTAAGTTAGAATCAAGATAGAATATGAATGGAAAACTGCATTTAAGACCAAAGATGGATTATATCAGTGGTTTGGCTTGTCAAATGCACCAAGTACATTTATCCGCTTGATGAATCAAATATTTCAACCCTTTATTGGTAAATTTCTTGCATACTTTGATGACATATTAGTATGATGAAGAAGAAGAAGAATTGGCTCAATGGACTTGTATTAGTGCAAATTTAGGAGGCGCTTGGCAAGTCTTTTTAGGAAGATCTTCCAAAAGCTCAAAACCTTAAAAGACTGACGAGCTTTCAAAGGTAGATCTTTAAAGACCAAGGACCATTTGGTTGTAATTTTTTAAAGATCTTTTTAAAAGCTAGAAAGACTGAAAGACCGTTTCGCAAGCATACTTATCAATCCCTCTTACATACATGTTAAATGTTATGTGCGGGACCCAGTAACATTCAAACATGCAAATATTACTTATGGACCCCATTTACACATTTACCTACACAAAATATTAAAATAGACCGCACTCATGCATTTCCTTATACATGATAACAATGTAATTCCTATCCACACATTGACATATGTGGTTATCATCTATGGGCTCCACTTGCACATTCACTTATATAAAATAAAAAATCAATGTGAGCCCACATAGTTTAACATGAATATTTATTTCTAACAAATAGTTCAACACAATCTAATACATTCATCAAATAAAAACACAATAAGTTTAACAAAAAAAACACTAATTGTGTTACCTACCTTCTCTTAATGTTTCTTGGCCGAGGGTGAATTATTCTCAAGTTGTAATGTTCTACTATCTGGAACATGATTTCATCTCGTACTAATTCCATTTGTCTACATGCTTGAGACCCAACACTAATTGTTTCTCGCTTTCTCTTCAAAAATCATTTTTGTTTCTCCTCTAAATTCCAAAACAGCTTTAAGCTTCCTTTCTATTTCCCCACTCAGCAAGATTAGATCAAGGAACTGCAAAGGCAAATTCAACTTGATGCCAACCAAACCAAGGGCCAGTTACTAATGCTCAAACAATAGGTTACTTGAGTTGTTTAATTCGAAGGATCCAAGAAAAAGAGATTGTTTGAAAACTATCCTGCATAGGATTTTTGGTTTATTCATAGGCCCTTCATCCAGAAGGTTGTCAACAATATATTTTACTATTTTGTCTTTGAAATAGAATGCCATAATGGAATTGTTGAGTTCTTGAAGATTTTCTGTAGTGTAATTAGTAGGTTTGCTTTACCACTGAAGGAGGAGCATAGATGTTCTTGTGGAAGGCTTTGATTCCTCTACACAAGCCAAAATGTATGGGTGTTTACCTTCAGTAGTTGTTCTATTGTGTTACATAATTTATAGAGAATGAGCCAAAATTGACAAGTAAAGGAGCTTTTGAAATATTGGCCTGTAACAATTAAGGCCTTTAAAAGTTGTTGTTATGGGTTTGGAGATTCAAAGCATCAATAATGGCTTAAGCCTTAAGGCCCCATAGGCCCATGAGTTAGTATGCATTCATTATCATAAGTTGAAAAGAGAATTTCATTAATCATTCAATGAATCACATCTGCAAAATTAAAATAAGGTCTAGTATCCTCATCAAAAAGCCATCTTAACTAGACATCTAGTAACATAAAATTTTATTATTTTATGAATTGGCCTATGAATGATTATTGTGGGAAAATCCTGTAACTGTAGTAACATGTTAAATTAAAAGGTGAGCATTTTCCTTCAGTTGCATTTCAAGAAATTGAGGTAGTTTTTTTTAGTATTTCAAGGGAAAACTTGTATCATTTCAAGTGACATGAATTCATGGACAACGATAAGAATAATGAAAGATCTATGGCAATCAATTATGCCAATTGCAATAAGAATATTGTCCAAAACTAATTATCAACAAGACCTTTGAGAGGGTTCTACCTAACCTAGTTGATAGTCTTGGTTGAGTCAAACCCCAAACCTAGGGTCAAATCACATCTTAAACATTATCATTCCTAACCATTAACCACCGACTCATTGACTATCAAAATAGAAAACAAAAAGTAAAACATACATTTTAAAAGATTACAATAAATGCTTAAAATACTTGTGCATAAAAAGCAACAAGTCTCTCACTTTCCTATTGTGATGCATTGAACAATCAAATCCATAGGCCACCAAAACCAATAACCACTTGGAGAATTTCCCTTTGCCTTGACTTGCTCAAAGCCAAGATTCACCCTATTATCATTGAAAATGATTTAGCACTTATGCAGGATTACAAAATTGCAAAATGAATCTGATAGCAATTCCATAGTCAGCAACCCAAAGAAGAAAGATGAGAGGCTATTCCAGAAATGATGACTGTAGAGTTTGTTGTTTCCCTCTCTCTCTCTCTATCCTTTTTGTACTCATTTCTTTTATTTTCTTTGTTTTGTTTTTGGGAGGAGGGGTGGGTGGGTGTAAATGTATTTTCCAACTCAAGTACTGTTTAAATTACTATAGCCTTTAAGATAATTAAACTTGTTTCCATGATACCACAAACTACAAAATAGTAACTCTTAAAATATGAAATCAATGACATAAATTATAAAACTTCCACAATCTAGAAAAAAAAAAAGCTTGGTTTATATTCAACCTCTCCTATGGTTTTTGTCAAATACTAAGACCTCTCCTTAGGTTTACCTATTTACTCAACCGTAGGGATGTTAGTTGATTGGGTTTAGTGGTAAACCCACATTGACCCAACTCTTTTGGGTTAGGGTCAGGTCAACTGTAATGAGGTTGAGGTGAATCCATACCAAAACCAACCAATTAACATTGTAGAGTTAGTTGAAACATTGCAGCGTTGAAACCCACCACTGTATATTCGATTAGTTTTTCAATATGATAATGGAGGTGGATTAGTTTTTCAATCTGCATGCCCACTACTAGTATAAATGATCCCTATGCACCCCTTGTAGTTAAATCATCTTCCAACCCATCAGCAAATCTCATTTTCCTTTGGATTCTTTTATTCATACCACTGGTTAAACACTCTATCATCTTCATTTCATCTCCATAAGCCCATCTTACTGACTCCATAGTAGTAATAAAGGCATTATGACTTCAAAACCCCAACTAATAATTAACACACCATTTGCTTTGGATTTATACTTCTTACACATGCCTAATAGACAATGCCTATTCTTTCAACCTAACTTAGAACAGAGTGAAGATGAAGAGATCAATTAAGAATTAGGGGACTCGGGAAGAAGCCTCAGCAATAAGTAATTGTTTTATTATTATTCATGAATAATACATCTAAACTATTCATGCATGCCCCGAGTAAAGCATATCAATATTTCCTTGTTTCACCCACCACCCTCCACCAAATTCCATTTTCATCCCATAGCTCACCATTACGATAGGCCTATAACTACTATAATAAACAAGTATACAACAACCTTAGAATATCCAGAGAGAGCAATAAATAGAAACTCCAATATCCAAATTATCAAACTAAAACTCCAACAACCTTAGAATAAAAGAAACCCAAATTAAGGATTCGTTAGCTCATTCCATAGAAAACACCAGAGAATCATCATCATCAATCCACAAATAACACAAGTTTTCACATCCATGGAAATCATAGAAGAGCGAAGTGAATATAAACTAAAGAAACAAAAAATATTCATCCATATTTAGGGGAAAACAACCATTCCTTTTTACGTTGGGAGAGACAAATAGATTTTGGACTGTTGGACTGTTGGTTTTCATCCAAATGGTGTCGGAATGTTGGTTTACATCAATGATTTTGGACTCAGCAAGTAAGGAATAAAAAATTAGCAGATTATAAAATTTTGCACAATAACAGAAAAAATTATGATATCGGAATGTTGGTTGATTGGTTTCAATTTTTTCTGAAATATATCATGTCCTTCTGGCATCATATATATGTTTTAGCAATTAAGTTCACTGCTCTACCAAAAATTACTATTTTCTAGTAAAAAAAAATCAGGGTTGAAGCAAGACTTCTGATTGTTTGTTGGAAACCTAATTCATATAAATGACTTGGATTGTGTTTTATTGTGATGAGTTATCATTCACACAAAGGAATTAGAGAAGAGAGAGAGTCATTTTGATTTTTAGGAATTAGCAATTAAACTATCCATGTACAAAGAGAAGTTTGAAGAAGAGGAGGAGGAAGAGGAAGAAGAAGTAGAAGAAGAGCGTTTATTACCTACGTCGATTCTTCTCAGTGGTCACTGGAGGCAAAGTTGCTCTCACCGATTGAAATGGAGAATGAAGGAGGTTTTGATCGACCACTTTTCGAATTTTTGTCAAAATGCATAAGAAAGATGAAAGCTCAAATAGATCGTAAGCTTCAATTGGAGCTGGAGCTTTTAGAGCCTTTTTGAGATATTTTCTTTTGGTGTAACGGGCTTTCTCAAGCCAAACAGAAAAAAAGACCATTTTTGGTCTATAGGGTTTCTAAAAACCCGAATGATCTTTCAAAAAATACTTGCCAAACAGGGCCTTTGAGCACCTTAGCCATGTTCTGCAAATGTTGTGTGAAGAGCAACTATATTTAGCACTATGGAGGTCAAAGTGATGGGATTTGAAATATTGAAGGAACAATATCCAGATGTCCCTTATTTTGATCAAAAATATGGGCAAGTTGTCAAAATGGAGCACATAGAGATTTTATTAAACAAAATGGATACTTGTTTCATGGTAATTGATTATGCATTCCAAAATTTTCACTTTAACAAGCCATACTTGTAGAATTACATGGAGGAGGTCTTGGTGGATACTTCGGTCGTGATAAGACTCTGAATTTGGTTTAAACGAGTTTTTATTGGTCAAAAATATTGAAGGATGTCTCTAAGTGTGTACAATGTTGTAGAATACTAAGCTTTACACATCTTTGCCAATTCCAAAAGCACTTTGGGAGGATGTCTCAATGGACTTTGTATTAGAATTACTAATGATAAGAAGAAGAATTGGCTCCATAATAATTGTGGTGGATAGATGGTTGCCTTCAACAAGACATTTGATGCATCTCATATGGCAAAAGTACACTTCAAGCAGATTGTGAACATTAGTGGAATTCTTAAAACCATTACTTCTAATTGAGATTCAAAATTCATTTGCCATTTTTGGGAGATTCTATGAAAAAAAGGGACTAAACTACAATTTAGTAGTTCTCATCACCTACAAATTGAGGACAAATGGATGTTGTTAATAGGACACTTGGAAATTTACTACGGAGCTTAGTTAGCAATAACAAACACCAATGGGATTTGACCCTATCACAAGCCAAGTTTGCATACCGTTGGCTGAAAAATAGATCAATTAGAATGTACCCCATTTGATATTGTTTATGGTCAAATTCCTTACAACCCATTAGATCTTATTTCATTGTCTATCACCAATAAAGTTAGCAAACATGTTGAAGACGTGGTAAGCTACATCAAGGAATTACATGCACAAGTTTAAAATAAGTTCACACTAATGGACCACTCTGAATTTTGAAATGAATTGGAGAGAATGCCTATGATTTTCTTGGTGACATGGATGTCTCAACTACATTTAATGTTGCAAATCTACAACTCCGATGATGATGATCTTGACTCGAGGATAAGTCTTTTTTAACCTAGGGAATCTGATCTAGAAGCATTTAATGCAAGAGACATTGAAGGAATATGCAATTCCTTAATTAATGAGAGATTAAAGAAGGTTATTAAGAGTGTATTAAAGCTTCAATCATAACCTATTTTGGGGAGATGAAGGGACCTATATCTCGTTATATTTAGAGGAATATTTATGATACTTATTAGGAGGGATGAAAAGGTTGTGGGTTAAGATTTTGAGTTAATGATTAATGATTGATTGTTAAGCCTCGGCTCCCAATATAAATGCCCCTACCCATGTAGTGCAACTCATTCAAAATTTGAGTTTCCTTTGAGTAGCCTTATAGTTTGTTTCCTCTTCTCTAGCTTTTGAAGTTAGTGAAGTGCAAAGCTAAGTTGAGTGAGTGCAATTGTCTTATGATTTCCCTTCTTGCTCCATTGCATATTTTGAAGAGCATTCAAGTTCTTTAATCCCTAGTCCTTGATAAAAGATTTGGGTTACATTAGACACCTGGACCCATAAACTGAGAATGGGTTTGGGTCCATACTATCATAGACTACATGCTCGCATTACTTCTTAATTCTACCACTAAACGTAAGCCAATTAATGATACCTAAAAACCTGAGGCTTGATCCAATATCTAATACGATTATATCGAATTTGAATAGTATATTTATGTAATCATATTAGATTCAGATTTTGTAATCTGCATCCGATTAATAATCAAGTTGGATTTGGATTTGACTTATTCTAATTTGATTAAAATCCAAATATGATTATACTATAATATTTATTGATTTTAATATATAAACTTTATATAATTATATTTAAAATTATATAGGAATTTATATATATATATAATAAATTCAATATATATATTTACAATTTTACATTAATTTATTATATATAAAAGTTGAAAAGTAATTATTTTTTTATTTTTTTTATTTTAAAAAAATTCAAGGGAAATGGGTTATATCCATATTCGATCCATTCGAATTAAAATCTAAGGTCTTCAAGTCCAATTGAATTTCGAATCAGATTCAGATGTACAACACCCTAACTAATCATGTGAAATTATGATTTGTTTTTTTACCAGTAGATGTTGATTAAAACATAAATTTGTTGTTGTGTATTAGGCTCAGTTTGGAAGGAGTGCAAATACAAATACGTAGAGTGCAAAACTTTGTATTTTGTATTACTAGTAAAAGTGTATGTGCATTGCACATGGCAATATCAAATGATGATGATGATGATAATAGTCAACAACCAAATGACCTTATTGGTTGAACCATTAAGCTATTTAACCAGGAAAATGGACTATTATTATGACATTAATTCATTTTTTTCTTTGTATTTTAGCCACTTCTATCTTTACTAACAATAATTCTTATTTTTCAAACATATTTTTGTTTAATATGAAGAATATATAATATTAATGCATGTTCGAAATTTTTAATAAAATTAAAAAAAAAATCTATATTTTTGTTTTTTACTATTTAATTTATGAGATAATAAAAAGTACTTATTTACCAAGAGGAAATGCAATTCCAATATATTGTTTGAATGTTGGTTTTTAATATTGTGGTCAAATCAATTATATATATATATATATATATATATAATAAGTTATTTATATTGCATTTTCGTAAATTTCTTATATAATGAAAATAGTTGAAAAAATACTTATATTTTTTGTTTTTCTTTGTTTCAATTATTATATTTTCTTTTCCTTTTAATAATTTATTATTTTTTAAATTAAATTGGATCATATCATATTCGGATATCCAACATATTCAGATTTGAATCAATATTTATGAGATCCGATCAGATCTTTGGATCGTATCAAATTCAAATATACCACGATTCAATTCCGATTCGATCTATTTGCATCCCTACCAAACCACTTGCCTGCAATGACCTAGCTAAATAAATCAAGGTTCAAAGTATCGACACGTATCAGCCCGTATCGGCCGATACGTATCGTTCCGGCACCCCTCCGGTACACCCCTACAGTGGGTGTTTCGGGGGTCTAACTAGTCCAGGGGATGGAGGAGACCTAAACTGGTTGCAAAAAAAAAAAAAAACATATAACAAAGGGTATCGATACGCCCCTACCGGCGTATCGAGCATATCGATATTTTGAACCTTGAATAAAATATCATTGAACCATTTGACATGGTTAGTGGCACCATGTGTTAGACAGTAATTTTCTTTATTTTTATCCCATTTCTATCATTAATGAAAATAATTCTCATTAATCACACTTTTTTTTTATATGATGAATATATAATATTATAGAATATACCCGAAATTATTTACAAATTTCTACATTTTTTAGAATTTTATGTATTTTATTATTTAACAATAACATCATGTGTTGATCCTTTTGACATGGATAGTTGAACCACTAACCCATCACTTGGATGGAAAAACCATTTTTCTTTTCCGGTTGATTTTAAATCATGTATTATATTTTCATCATCAATAAAAGTAATTCCCATTTCCGCATTTATTTTTGCATGTGGTAGTACCAAATGATGATAATGATAATAACCCGTAACCAAAGGACTTTACTGGCTGAACCATTAACCTATTTATCCAGGAAAATGGACTATGATTAAGACATTAATTCATTTTGTTCTGTGTATTTTAGCCATTTCTATCTTTACTAACAATAATTTTCATTTTTTCAAACATATTTTTTTTAATATGAAGAATATATAATAATTAATGTATGTTCATTTTTTTTACAAAATTTATAAAAAATCCTATATTTTTATTTTTTATTATATAATTCATGAGATAATGAAAATTACTTATTTACCAAGAGGAAATGCAATTCTAATATATTGTTTGAACATTGGTTTTTAATATTGTGGTCAAATCAATTATTTATATATAATATATACTATTTATATATAATATATGCTATTTATTATTTATTTATAAATATGTTATTTATATTGCATTTTTGTAAACTTTTTATATGATGAAAATAGTTGAAAAAATACTTATATTTTTTGTTTTTTATTTCAATTGTTATATTTTTCTTTTTCTTTTAATAATTTATTACTTTTTTAAAAAATTAAATAGGATTGTATTAGATTCAAATATATGACATCTTGATCGGATTCAGATTCGAATCAATGTTTATGAGATCCGATCGAATCAGTGGATCAGATCAGATTTGAATATACCATAATTCAAATATGATCTTATCTGTTTGCATCCCTACCAAACCACTTGCTTACGATATCCTAGCTAATTAAATTATTGAACCACTTCACAAGGTTAATCGGGTCATGTGTTAGACATTAATGCTTTTTTATTTTAATCCTAATTTTTAACCCATTTTTATCATTAATGAAAATAATTCTCATTAATCACACTTTTTTCTATGATGAATATATAATATTATAGAATGTACCCAAAATTATAGGCAAATTTCTACGTTTTCTAGAATTTTATGTATTTTATTATTTAATAATAACATCCATTTGATATGGATAGATTAAACCATGTATTCCATTTTTATTTTCATTGTCAATAAAAGTAATTCTTCTTTTCACATTTATTGTTGTTTAATATGGTGAATACATAACAATATAATTGTATCAAAATGCTTTATACAAAACTTATATTTTTCTTTTGTTTTATATATGTATGTATGTATGTATCTATGCATTTAATATTCATTATTTAGTTATGACATCATAGATTGACCCATTTTGATCCGGAATGTTAGATCATTGACCTACCTACCATCTAGATATGGAAATGGTTTCATTTTCAAACTGGTTTTAAATTTTGCATTTCATTTGTATCATTGATAAAATAATTATTGTTTATCATACTTGATGGAGGATGATTTGACCCGACC